ATCTCCTTTTAACTGGCACATCTACAAAATAAGTGCACAACTGTACGTCAAACAAGTGGAAAATCACATGATGAAAATGAAAAATAAGTTTATAAATTTTCAACTAGGGGATCATTTCAGCTTGGATAGATGATAATTGGACTCTGCAAAATCAAATTTCAGCTTATCATAAATTCGACGAAGCACACATGATTTTTAAGAAACAACCCAACACCTGATTAATTTCTTATAACAATATCTAGAGTTAGGTCCGGAAGTTGCCCCAATTATAGATGCAAGTTAAAACTAAAGCAAATATAAATAAGTATAATACTTATCTACTACTTAAGTGAATATCATCACTCATTATTAGAAAAAGCTAGGCCAGTGATCTCTACTTCATCTTCTAAACTCTCAAGGACTCTTACTATTTGGAATAAAATTTCGTCACAGTGACAAGATCTAATGCTCGCTTTAACTAACTCAAATTTCATTTTAGTTTACAACAGGATAGGAATGCGGGAAGATGACTTTGACATAGTTTCAAAATGTGTTTACGTCAACCACACCACCCGAAGGATTTCTATAGGTAAGCATTCTTAAAATGTGTGATTTATAGACAGGTTAACTGTTACAACAGGTAAAGGTGGTCTGACGGTGTAAAATTCCTTATAATGACATTGTGTATATCTTAAACTCCTTTGAATTAGTGAAAGGAAAATGTATGTGTATATAAATTGGGAGTATATTCTACTTACTTCGAACCCACTTACTCTATATGCTGGATCATCCTCCACTTTAGTGACGCTACTGACAATACCAGAACCGTCAACCCGAGTGCGATAATCAACTATGTCATCTCCGTCGAGGGTGAAGAACCAGCAAGAGAGAACAATGAACGCCGCGGCGAAGACGGTGACTTGCACCTCCCACCATGACGGCAAGAGAAACTCCAACACCGTCTCCACAATCATCTATAATTGCACAAAAAACTGCGCAAATAGTAAACGGGACAAAAGTTGATGGAACGAGAATTCCTTAGTATAGGCGTGTAGCTATCAAATAGAGTGGTCCAATTTCCAAAAGCACCATTGAATCATTGAAGTTAATTCAGAGGAGAAACGGAAACAATTTTTATGTGTGCATAAACAGAGTCAAGTGTGTGTGTGTGTGTGAGAGAGAGAGACACACAAAAAGGAAGGAAAAAAAGGAGGGAGCGTGGAAGCGTGATTAAATAGACAGAACTGAAATGACGGATTTAACCCTTTTGATTTTTGGGGTTTATTGGATGAGGGTTACACCTGTCTCTAACAACATTATAATGTAACAACATTTCACTATAAAAGCCAAGTTTTTGCGAAATTAATTTTTATGTTATGTTATAATGTTATCTATAACAATATTTAACTATAACATTTAAAAATATTAAGAACAAATGAGGTTGTTATAGAGAATTTTGACAGAACTAATAGACAATTTAGGGGTATTATGGAACTTTGGAAACTTCCTAACGACTAGAATATTATGGAAAATGGTAGAATCTAAAATAGAATGTTTTTCAATAAGCCGTCCATGTGAGTTATAGTGGAATTTCCAGCTTTTGCTACTTTGTAAAGGACTAAAAAGTGTATGTTTAGAAGTTTGGGAAAATAATTACACCCCACTCCTTTGCTGTAAAATAATAAGAGTTATTATCAAATGAAAATTAAAAACCTTCTTAAAATTAATTTAGATTTAATTAGTTAATTATTTAATCTCATTAACATGATTGTATACAAATAACAAGTACAAAACCAAACCGGAAAGTAATCTATATTGATAAAATAAAATGAAGAGAAAGCAAAAAGCGTAGGAAGAGGTGCGAACAATGATGGCTAAGAGAGAACAATCATGATGGCCGGCGGCCCGGCGCACGGCTTAAAATAATTATAGTACTTGCTTATTTTTAACAAAACTAATTAAACAGTGGGACCCAGACTAGGAATTAAAATTGACATGTTCAAACTTATAGTCTCTAACTTTTACACTCATTGAAATTTTAAAATTACGAGCTTAAAATTTAGTACTATTTGTTAAAATGCTACTGATGTTACACGCATAATGTGTTCTTCGATAAAAATACTGAATATACTGATTAATAGGCTCGATCCGCCTTTGCAACCAAACCAAACACAGCATAGAAGTAGGCAACAACCAGCTCTCTTGTCTTCAAAACTCACTGTTACACTATTTTTATTTTTAGTTATCAAGCCTACTACAAGAACTTCAAGAAATAGTGACGTGAACGGTGAATCCTTCTTTTTTAATATTTTTGAGCTATAGAGTTTCTTCTATGATACTTGATCAAAACTAAAGAGCTTTAATATTTATTAACAAGTGTATGGTTTAGGAAAATTGAAAGGCAATACCTTGGTCGATTTGGACTAAGAACGTATTGAACAAATCCTTCAACAAGTAACATACCAAGATTCTCATATAGTTAAGATTGACTTCATTATAATCATGTGAAGGTTTAAAAAGGCTGAATATATATGCGACTCCTTAAACTTGCTAAATTAAAAGGTAGTACCTATTGGAAAACCATCCCAGCTAACATGATTTAAACTACTTGTCAAGATTTTCCTTTTGGCGGTTTAAATAATAAGCTGAATTTGGCTCTGTAGCATTGCTCTTGCTCAACTTACAGCAGAGATTGCTTCCGAATTTCGATAGGAAACCAAGTTGTATTGTTAAAACTGCTGCTACAAATAAGTAGCAAAGGTTTCAAGTGCATTAGGTAACTACTGTTTGACAAAAAAAATATGTATCTTGGTTAAAATAATTAATTTTATGTAATTAGGGGTTAAACTTAGTTAACAATAATCTTTCTAAATGAAACTTTCAAGGATGCAATAAATAATAGATGGGTTCGGTCAGATAGTAATGACATCATGCAATAACTGTTCTAAAAAGCATGAACAAGAATGTAGCATTCAATAGCAATAAATATCAATAAATGACATTTAAGTAAATAGGATGAACGATTCACCAATAAAGGATAAAATAGATGGATGTTCCTCCTGAAAATGATGAATGACAGACAAATCCTTGAATATTCGAGTTATTCTCGGATCTGGTGGAAAAGTATGGAAAAATATAAGCAAGAATCTTAGTGAAAATGCAGTGTTTGTATCTTAGCAAGAGAGAGAGAATCTTTTTGTTAAAGTGTGTTTTTACAAATGAATGTCACATGCCCCTATCATTGTCTCTTTTTTCTATATATATGGGATATTTTCCTAAGAAACTCTAATCGTACAAGTACAGAGAATATCCACTAGACTATTCTCTTTTACTACCCTATCCTAACAAATTAGCCGTTACAACTCTTATCAACGATATTCAACCTCGACATCTCGACTAAGGCTCTCGTCGACATCTCAACCACGATTCATGTCGACACTTTAGCCAGGACTTTGTTGCTTCTTGACCCATCTCGACCAACGACGACTCGAGAATTCCTTTTTAGTACTCCCTCCGTTTCAATTTATGTGAACCCATAAATAGGTTCACATAAATTGAAACGGAGGGAGTATTATCTTGCCTCAAATATTATAAGGGCGAATTTTGACCCATACAGTTAGTCCCGCCACTTATTGAGATCGTGCCCCCGTATGAGGTCGATGAGCGGATAATGTCGTGCATAGTTGGCAGGGGTCGTGGTTGTGGAGATGGGACTACGTGGCTCTTTGTGGTCCGCATATTTTTGAATTTATCAAACTGCCCGGGAGATTATTTGGAGTTATCTAGGCCTTGAATAGAAGTGATGTCATGGCCCTGTGCGTCATAATGACGCCATTTGTCGATGCATTGCATCGATTCAGGTGGGCTCTTGATTGGCTCTATCGTTTCGAGTTTCGTGCTAATTATGTCCCATACAGTTTCGATTCGGGTGCCTTCCAAACTTATAAATAGGGGAAGCTTTTCTGATTTTGGAACATTTCAAACTCCTTCTTCTCCGCTATCACCAGCTTGCTTAATTCACTTTGCCGATCACTCCTTTTCTTATATTTCTTAGGCTTAGCATGTCCTTCGTTCGTCTTCTTCTTTCGAAACCCCATTCTCTTATTGAAAATGATGTCTAACATTCCTTCTGATTCCGGTGAGGGGAGTTATGTCCCACCCTTGGCAGTGGCATATCCTCTCCATGAGGAGGGTATTCCTGCCACCGCTGACGACGGAACCTTCCCGTTGGTAGAAGAGATAATTTCACGCAACCCCGATTCCCGGTATGCTTTCACCAAGTCCCTTGACGCCAAACCTGGGGCTTTCCGGTCAGTGATGACGGTTGATGGTAGGCTATAATCCTGTATTTTAGTCGCTTATTATACTCTAATTCACTGTACTTTACCTGTGTTGAGCTTTAACTGGTAGTGTTTTTGCACTTATTGTATATTTTATGCCTTGTAGGAGTGATTCCGAGTTATGTAGATGTTGTGGAGCTAATTCGAGCTATTTGCACTACAAAAAAATGGGTAAATTACGGAGGTTAAAATTACAGTTTGCGGAGGTTAGAAACCTCCGCTATTTGATGTCACGGCGGTTGAGCATGCCCCTGTAGTAAACATCACCACTATTAATTTGCGGCAGATAAATGCTGGGATTTCCCGAACTACCATGACAGCAAATAGCGGAGGTTTCTAACCTCCGCAAATTACAATTTTAACCTCCACAATTTCATGCGCGAAAATAGATTTTTATTTTTAAAATTTAATTTTTTTTTGAGTGTAGGGGTTGTAAACCCCCGCAATTTCTTATGTGTACACCATCAGGATCTGTTCAATTTCTCTTTAGGGGGTTTATCCCCATCTATTTTTAAATATATTATAGAATTGATTTTTTATCATCAATTTGCCATACTCTTTCCCAAATATCAATTGAAATATTTATGCTTAAACCAAAATATTAAAATTAAGAAACATCAATATTTCATTAATCGTGAAAAATACGATGACAGAGTAGTATCATATGTCATCAAGCTAAATTAGAACATAGTTAACTGTCTATATTAGTCAGCTATTATATTGTCCTAATACACCCACTTCAATTAAAATGAATCTCAATGGCTGTCACTGGGATTATTAGCGCCAGGAGATCTTCTTGCATCCGTCGGTGAAATGGGTCCACTGGCTGTATCACTTGGCTACAGCAAAAAGTAAAAAAAAATACAACTATTAAGAGAAGTATTAGAAAATAAGTCATTGAGATAAAATATACGTTGACTATTTAAATCAACAAAAAAGAATGAAACGGGACAAGGTACGAAGCCTCTAGTCTAAAAGGTAGACGGTATGCAACACAAATACAAAGAGAATAAAGCATTTGTTTAATAAGTGATACAACACTACCGTGCCACAGAACCAAGAAGCAGTGATACAATACTGCTACTACCACCCACTACTTAGGAAACAAAATGAATGACATTGATTTCAAATCCATTCAGAGCATTCTCTCAGTATCTATATTGACAAGTAAGTATTACTCAATAGGCAATTTTCTCACCATGTGATAGAACATGCAATTAATGGGAGAGGAACTTTGTGGTTTGGGTATCAAAGACCTAACAAATCTGGAGAATCAACTGGAAATGAGCTTAAGGGGCATCTACATGAAAAAGTTCAGCAACCAACCTGATACTATCTAATTAATATTATTGGAACTGTAAAATACTAGTAGGAACTAAACATGTTCTGGCTTTATAGGAGCAAATATTAAAGGATGAAATTCAAGAGCTAACTCAAAAGGTATGTGCAAAACTGTAGCAGCTTTCATCACGTCAAGAATAGATCAGCAGAATAAATAAGTAGAACGATCAAATCAAATCGAAAATGCATTAAACACAATACTAAAACACAAATAGTACGAGAGAAGCAGGGGCGGTCTGGCGAATTTTGTGGCCTAAAGCCAAACTTTTATGAGGAGCTTAACTTTTTATTTTTTTTTTATTATTTATTTGAAGTCTATTTATTTAGCTTTTCTTAGATACAAAATTATTAATAATTTTCTTATAATCAATAACTCCTAATAAGTATTTCTCAATTGAAAATATAGCTAATCCATTTAACCTTTCTTGTGAGTTGTGACATTGTTGTTCTTAGGTAAGATTTTATCAATTTTAATTTTGAAAACTTCTTTCTGCCGCAGCAACGGTAACATGAGTTATGAACATTATTCCATAAGCAATTTAGGCATTTGAAAAAAAAATTAATCTTTTTATTTGACTAAGTGTATCAATTAAACTATTATCTTCTAATTGTACTATTTTTCTTAATACTTTTAATTCAGAAAATAAATCTAAACCATCAATATCGAATTCATTATTATGCTTTAAGGAACATTCAAGATTAAGGCAATATTTTTTAAAATTTTCAACATCTAGTGATCTTAGTTTTTACTGCCGAATAGAAAACCAAAAATATTTTCATATGTTTCGAATTGTTCAAATCTATTTTGAATTAAAAAAGTAGCCTTGTCTATTATGTATAAAAGTAATCAACTCTAAAGAACTCTTCGAAAATTTTGAGATTTCATTATCAACATTCACATCAAATTATTACTTTCTATATATCACACGTTTCTTACGAAATTCAGGTTCGATATTCATTTCAAGTGCAATTTCCTTGGTAGAAATTATAGCAGTTGCAAATCCTTCTTNCTTGGAGAGAAGAATAGCTTGCCCCATGTCAGCACAACTTAGCTAAAGAAACTAGACAATCATCCATGAAATTAAGATGAAGATGAAGAGGATTTTAAAAGAGATTCAGCAAGTTCCATATCTAAATTTTACTCCAAATAACATGTATGAAAAATAAAATTGCACAATACACCAAAAATAAAAGAACTTAGCATTTACCGTTATAGGAGGAGAAGCAAAGATCCCAGCAAATTGTTCTGGTATTGACCCTTCCTTCATTATCATGTATGCTTTGAGAGTATTCATCAATTGATTGTACTTCTCTTGGCATCCAGAAGAAGAACATCCAACATTATTACTCACAATTCTAATATCACCAAGACGAAGATTTGTCTCTCTGAAAGTATTGCTTGGAGTATTACTCACAATTCTAACCACAAGTCTTGTAAAGATTGTTGAAAACAATGGAGCCAGCGTGCCATGCTAATATTCCAGATATGCAACTTTCAATGCAGCAAAAATTTTCATGTCAAAACTTCTTTCACTTTTCCCCTTCTTCAGTAAACATGCAGAAGAAAGGTTTCCAACCAAAGATCCCTTTTCTTAACAAATAATTTGGCACAAAGAGGATGCCCATTAACAGAAACAATCATGAATGTAACTTACACATTTTTTTTGCCTCCTCATTTACATATGATCCATCTTTTTTCGTATGTGTAGCAAGATAAAGTTGTGCTCGTCCAGACTTTCTCCCTGTCTCAGCCACGTATGTATGAAAACAAAAATAAGTCAGAATAGTTTAATTAAAGAAAAAAAAATAGATAATGTTAAATTTTTTAGATTTCATATATATAAGTCAGAATAGTTTAATTCAATGGAAACCATATATATATATATATTGTTAAATTAGTTCCAGTGATTCAACCTTGTGAATATTTTACTTTGACAAAGAAAATGGTTTCCATTGAACGTTGTTTCCAAGAAGGCAAGATTCGATTTCGTCGGCGGCAGAGTTTCTCCGGCGACGTCGACCTCTCTCTTCAACGACCAAAAACAAAAGCAGTGAATGCCATGACACTCTAGCAAACAAATTGTTCAAAGTCTTCCAAACAAGTCTAGCTAAGTTTTACCATTATAAACATTTTTGTAGAAAAAAATTTATAAATAAAAGTACTTGTTCAAAGATGGCCGGAAAAAATGGGTTTGAATCAATGGCAAGAATAATGGCTGAGAATGGACAAAAATGACAAAATCCTTCCAAGTTGAGTATTGTACCAAAATATACTAATGAGAAAAGGAAAATGAGAGAAGCAGTGGAATTGGAATTCTAAGTTTGTTCAAGGTCAGAGTCACAACAGCAAATATACAATGCAGAGGAAAAGAGGCAAAAAAATATTCATACTGATAGACCATTAAGGCCTACAAAAAAATAAAAGCACACAAAAATTCCTGCAAAGAGATCGACCATTAAACCCAAAAGCACAAAGAAAGCAAGGAAAAAATGCACAAAAATTCATACAGATCGACCATTTAATACACACAAAAATTCGATATCAAACACCATTTAATCATACAGATCGACCAAAATACACACAATAATTCAAAATTAACAGAAAACCCATGAGGGGAAATAAGGAAAGAAAGAGAAAAATTCAACCTGGGAGGTGTAAAAGGGTGGCGATTGAAGAGGAAAAGAGAAGTTAGAAGAAGAAGAAGCGGAGAACTTTGATTAATAGAGGTGTAAAACCATTAAGCGGAGAACTTCAATTAAGAAGAAGAAGTAAAGGAGTATTTTGTTGTTGTAAGGTGAAAGTTTATAGGGCGAAAAAGATTGGGGAAAAAATGGAGGGAGTGTGAAATAAATGACCCGCTATTATTTTAAGGTTGCGGATATTTTAGACCCCGTAAATTGTATAATTTTGTGGGGTCTAATATATTGCCGCAAAATTATGCAAATTGCGAAGGTTACTTATACCCTCCGCAAATAAACCTCCACAATTTACCCATCTTTTTTATAGTGTTGGAGCTTTGAAGTCTGAGTAGAAGCCCAAGCAATTAAGTCGGGATCACGTTCGGTGGTTGAAAACTAAGTCTAGATGTCAAAAATTTGAAAAACTCATTTTTGCCACAATTTGCACTACCGCCCCGCGGGGGCGTAGGGCGCTAGTGCAAAAAGTGGCCAGAAAATTATATTTTGGCACGTTCTGGAATTTACTACATGTGCGCGGCATGGGGCGGCGCGGTAACTCAAAAATGTTAGAGTGACTTCCCAATTTCGCTAAAAAGGGTAGTTTCATCCGGAGTTTATTGTGGGATGGCTTAAATACACAGGAAAATACCATTTTCGGGACTTTTGAATAGAATTCGACCTAAGGAGGCTAAGATACCAAAGGAGGAGTTAGAAGAACACAAATACAAGGATTTCACCATTCCTTCCTCACTCAAGATCCGGGTTTGGATTGAATCTATCTTTTCCTATACTTTAATTACATTTGCGAAGAACTTCTCCATGTCTATGGAGTAGATCCTTTTGGAGTTTTGATGGACTTGGTGTATTGATGATTATTTATTGATTATAACTCTATTTTTATGTATTTGAATCGTTTTTGGAAGATTTAATTGTTGTATCTATATTCATTTGTTCTTGTAATTGAGAGAGGCATAACTTGTGATATTTTTGCATTATCTTGTTAGTTGAGTTTATTAATTTTTCTTAGTAATCAAAAGAGGCTAGTTGAATAATTGATTAAACCTAGTTAGGAGGATAACCGAAAGAGGTTCTCCTAAAAACCAATCCATTACGAATTCTTGCATATCTTCACCGATGTTAAATTAGTCCATATTGTGAGGTTGAGACTTAATCAAGAGAAGAGTTTCTACGAACATTTAAACTAATAATTAAGTGAATTCGAGAAACTCATTTGAACATTAGGAGTGAATTAACTAGAGTTAATCCCAGACAACTATCTTTCACCTATCCAATCAACCCCTATTTTCTTTCATTGATATCTTCCTTGCTTACTTTTGTTGCGATTATCATAGTCAATTAGCTCTAGATTCTTAGTTAATTTTAGTTTTTAATCACATAATTCTCAACTGTTAATCCTTCTGATTAGCAATCAAGCTAGAAACTACGAGAATACTATTTAAATCAAATCCTTGTGGACACAATATTATACTATACTATCTATGAATAGCGAGCACAATTTAAGTGTGTGTTTTGCACTCGTCAAATTTTGGCGCCGTTACCGGGAATTGGCAACCAATAGTGTTTGGAATAGTTTGTAGTGCTAATTCAGAAATTTATTTATTTATTTATTACTTTTATTTTGTTCTTCACGGGTTTCTCCTTCGTGTGCAGGGCAACAGGTTAGGTCCGTAGTGAATGACACGATCTTCTTGTAAAGAAGTAACACCCTACAACCCGGAATTGAAAAAATACCTGCGACAACTGAGGAAGGATAAAGAGTTTACTGTAAGGTTCTTGGAGCAACCTTCAAACAAAGAACATATGGTTAATAATGATGACAATGAGGTAGAGGCAGCTGCAAGGATAGCTGCTGAGATAGCCCATAGAGCTGTTGAGGAAACTGTCGAAGACAATATGGGTCGAAGATTCAATCTAAATCGACCCTTGATTGAAGACCAGTTCGAGAATGTGGTACTAAGTCTTGGTAGAGCATTGGGTGACTACGCCAGACCAGTCTACAATCCAGGATTTGTCAAGTGTTAGTGCGATGACCCAAAAGGTCATCTTTAAATTTATTAATTAATTCTGTATTCTAAGACCTCGAAAAATACTATTCATCATTCCTCGACTTGCGCGCACAGTTCGTATAATTTTCAGGAAAGCTTTTGTGTGAAAAATGGATTAAAATGTGAAATAGAGCCTTAAAACTCAACTGTATTGTCTTTGGTCAACATTTTGAGCAAATGGACTCGGATCAGTATTTTGACAGTTCCGATAAGTCTGTATCGTGATTTGGGACTTGGGCATATGCCCAAAATTTAATTTAGAGGTCCCTAGCTTAAGTTATGGCAATTTAACGGAAACTAAAAATTTAAAGGTTAAAGATTTCCAAAGTTTGACCACGGATTTGACTTTTTGATATCGGGGTCGAAATCCAATTCCGAAAAATTTGAATAGTTTCGTTATGTCATTTATGACTTGTGTGCCAAATTTGAAGTTATTCCAGGTTCATTTAACATGTTTCGGCACAAGTTTTGTAAATTGAAAAGTTTGAAACTCAAAAGTTCGAATTGAGGTGTGAATTATAATTTTGATGTTATTTGATGTGATTTGAGACCCCGAGTAAGTCTGTGTTATGTTTAAGGACTTGTTGGTATATTTGGTTGAGGTTCCGGGGGCCTCGAGTAAATTTCGGACGAGGTTCAGATCAATTTCGTTACATATTGCATTGTTGAAGGCTGCTAGTTCTGGTATTTTCGCACCTGCGGAAATAGACTCGCAGGTGCGATGTCGCAGAAGCGACGATGAGGTCGCAGAAGCGAAAGGGAAGGGGTTGGGCAGTGTGCGCAGGTACAGAACTTTTGCCGCATCTGCGAAGCCGCTGAAGCGACTTCTTGTCCTCAGAAGCGGCCCCATTTCAGTAAAACTGAAAACCGCAAATGCGGTCAAGCGTTCGCAGATGCGGAAAGGTCTGGACACTACCCATAAAATCGGAAGTTAGCCATTTTTACTCATTTTTGAGTTTTAAGTCTCGGATTTAGGCGATTCCAAGGGGATTTTTCACGACTTTGAATTGGGTAAGTGTTCTATAACTAAGAATGATTATATATTTATAAATCTATGTCTATTTTCATTATTTATTTCAGATTTAGATGGAAGAAATTGGAATTTTTGTAAAACCTTTCAAAAATAAAAAATTAAGATTTGAAGGTCCATTTGACATCGGAATTTGGTAATTTTTGTATGGTTGGACTCGTCTCAGAACGGGTGTTCGGATATCGTAAGTTTTTTCGAGATTCGAGACGTGGGCCCCACTGTTGATTTATGAGATGAAATTTGGATTTTAATTCGAAAAATTAGCAAATTCATATGGAATTAATTCCTACGATTTGTATTGAGTATATTGAATTGTTTATGACTAAATTTGAGGATTTCGGACACTAATTCGCGAGGCAAAGGTTTATTGGATTCTTGAATTTGGTTGCAAGCGAGGTAAGTGTCGTGGTTAACCTTGACTCGAGGGAGTAAGACTTATTTGTCTATTTGCTACATGATTTAATGTGCGGGTACAACGTATATGTGAGGTGACGAGTACTTATGCATTGTGGTTGAGTCAAAGCATGCGAGTAGAATTTATTTATTGTGAATAATTATCTATTTAATTAAGATATTCCTGCTTAAGTTTATTATTGATTATTATTCGTGAAATTATTATTCATTTAATTATTGTTGAATATTTTGGAAGGTGAAGTCGGTATTTTGGTATTGAATTGATTGATAAGTGTATATCCCCGTATTTAAATACTCTTCCAAATTTATATTATTATTTTCATGGTAAGGAAGAGTGTAAAAGCACGAAGGGTGTTGTCGTACCATTTGTGAGTGTAAAAGCACGAAGGGCGATGCTGTGTCATTTTCAGAGAGTGTAAAAGCATGAAGGGTGGTGCCGTGCCAAATGAGAGTAAAAGCACGAAGGGTGGTGCCGTGCCATTTTCATATTATCATTTGCTCATTTTATTTTTGATGAATTAACTGACTGCTAAGTGATACATCTCCTGCTGGAATTATTATAGCTTTCCCCTTCGCATGTTCCCTCCCAATTTATAAATTGTTATTTATTGTATTATTGTTACTTCATATTGTATATACTTGTACATGTTATTTATGTACATGTCTTGTCATATCCTCGTCACTACTTTGTCGAGGTTAGGTTCGGCACTTACCAGTACATGGGGTCGGTTGTACTGATACTGCACTCTGCATTTCTTGTGCAGATTTCGAAGTTGGTCCCAGTGGCGTACAGTAGATTTGCTTGGATACAGCTACCAGTGGAGATTTGAGGTATAACTGCACAACGTTCGTAGTTATGAAGTCCCCTTCTATCTTATCTCAGTTGTGTATTATATTTCAAACAGTTTGAATTTTATTCAGACCTTTAATTGTATTATTCTAGAAGCTCGTGCACTTATGACTCCAGTTCTGGGATGGTATTTAGATATCGCAATTATTATGGATTACTCACTTTATTTCAGACTTTAATTTCGCATTTCTTTCCTTATTATTAATAAATTTAAAATTTTATTAAAATGGCTAATTATATTCTAACGTTGGTTTGCCTAGCAAGTGAAATGTTAGGTGCCATCACGGTCCCGAAGGTAGGAATTTCGGGGTGACAGTTGGTATCAGAGCACTAGGTTACATAGGTCTCACGAGTCACGAGCAAGCTTAGTAGAGTTTGAAGGATCGGTACAGAGACGTCTGTACTTATCTCTCAGAGGCTATGAAGTTTAGGAACAACATCACTTCTTTCTTAATCTGTCGTGCGATCTTATTCCATCATCGATGATTGAACAATTCTATTCTTATTCTCTCGCAGATGATGAGAATACGTAATACATCTACCGATGGATAGGGACTAGAGCCCCCGGTGGAAACTATGACCAGGGATAGAGGTCGAGGCCGAGGTTGTGCTAGAGGCCGAGGCAGAGGCAGAGGTAGAGCTCAGTCTAGAGCTCGAGAAGCAGCACCTGTTGTAGAACCTTAGGTGGATCTTCAGGAAGAGGTTCCCGTTCAGGCT